AACCATGTAAAAACAGTTTTGGGTTTTAAAATCTTTCTACTTTGATAGTTTTTGAGAACAATACTCTGCAGTATGCAAAAGTACTAGATACCTCTGATGGAGAAATCTTGAGAAGCTGTAAGAGAATGGCAGCAGATGCTGGAGGGCTGTAGTGACAGCAGAGCTCTGTGGGACCACCTCTCCCTGTGGGGGTGAGAGCCGTTGTTCTTTATAACCTTCACAGTCACAGATCAGCAGCCCCAGTCATGCAGTTCCAGCTGTGGGTCAGAACAAAGGCAGCACCACACAAATAAGATGACTAGGCAGTCTAGAGAAGGCAGCTCAGGACTTGTTTTGTGGCTGGCCATTCCTGGAACACCCTACCAGGCACTCCAGGTCAGGGTCTCGGCCCTCTAGACCAGCAAAAGGACACATGAAGAGACTTAAGTGCCACCTGGGAGTATTGGGGGTCGAGTTGTTAACAGAATCAGGCCCAGAACTACCTGGAGGGAGGTGAGAAAGGCATGGTGGCAGAAATGTCCATTTGAGAATGCATGGTCCAGATAGCATTTTGACAAACAAATAAAAGCATTTGACTGTAAAACAGTCACATTCTGTCATGGAAAACTGCTTCACTCACACTGTAACAGGCTTATCTTTTTAAAAAGGTTTTGATGGCTATAATCTCACTGGCTCAGGAGGCTGAGGCAGGAGGATCTCAAGTTCAAAGCCAGCCTCAGCAATTTAGTGAGACCCTGCCTCAAAGTAAGAATTTAGAAAGAGGAGGGAGGTGCTGGGGATGCTCAATGGTAAGCACTTCTTCTTGGTCCCCAAATGAGACAGTAAGGACATCAAAGTAAAGCATACTATCAAGTGCTTCCTAAAGCAAATAGATAAATAAAAGCATTGCATTTTAAAAGTGTTCAAAAACCTGGGTGCAGTGTACACACCTGTAAAATTCCAGCTACTTGTGAGGCTGAGTGTTTTGGTCAGCTTTTTCTCTGCTGTGACTAAGAGATCTGACTAGAACTATTTTAGGGGAGGAAAAGTTTATTTAGGGGCTCATGATTTCAGAGGTCTGATATACAGCAGGCTCCATTCCTTGGGGCTCAAAGTGAGGCAGGACATCATGGTGGAAGAGAGTGGCAGATAGAAATGGCTTACATGATGATCAGCAAGCAGAGAGAGAGAATCCATCTCTGGATATAAAATATATATCCCATAGCCATGCCCCCAGTGAACCACTTCTTCCAGCTATACCCCATGTGCCTTCAGTTACCATTCAGTTAATCCCACCAGGGATTAATTTACTAATTAGGTTAAGGCTATAATCTAATTGTTCCTCTTTCAAACCTTCTTGCATTGTCTAACACGTGAGCTTTTGGGGGGACACCACAACTAAACCATGACACTGACGTAGGAAATTTCACAAGTTTGAAGTTGGTCTGGACAACTTAGTGAGACCCTGTCTCAAAAAGGGCTCCTAATGTAGCTCAGTGTTAGAGCACCCCTGGATTCAATACCCAGGGCCACCCAAAAAAAGGAAAAAAAAATGTTCAGAGAAATCAGACACATGTCTGTCCACCCAGCTACTCTGTATGCTGAGACAGGAATGTGCTTGAGCCTGGGAGCTCCAGACCAGCCTGGGCAGCACAGCGAGATCCTAACCCATTCCAGAAAATGTGATCAGAGGATCTGGTATACTAGCAACAGGAGAGCAGTACAAATAATATTGAGCAAGTCAGGGGGGCAGTGAGACTGAAAATAAGACATGTCCGAATACGCCCCTGCGGCCTGAAGCTCAGTGTCAAATTCCTGCCCCAAAGAGGAAGCCAGAGTTATCACAAGTGGGCTTTTAGTTGATGGTCTAGCAACATTGCCTTGTATTCATTCCAGAAGTTTATTTGTAGATTATTTCAGATTTTCTTTATAGGTAATTATGTGGTCTGTGAATAATGATAGTTTTATTTCTTCCTTTTCACCCTGTGTTCTTTTCCTCTACCTGCAGCAATTGGCAGTAACTTCTGGGGCAAGGTTACTTAGAAGTGGTTATAGTGAGCATCCTTGTCTTATTTTTAGTCTAGGAAAGGGATGTTTCCCCCTGGCTTTTAATGAGTTTCTTGGAGATACTCATCAGGAGATTAAGGAAGCTCATTCCTAGTTTACTAAGAGCCCTTTATCATGAGTGGTTGGTAAATTGTATGACATGCTTTTCCTGTCTGTGCTAGATAATTGTGGCTGTTCTCCTTTCTGAAAGAGGTGAATTACAAATTACTTTTGAATGCATAATCACCCTTGCGTTCCTAGAATAAACTCATTTTTTTTTCGTGATGTATTCTTTAATTGTTGGATTAAATTTGCTAACAATTTGTTAAAATGTTTCATTTTAGGAGATACCAGCTTGTATCCTTTTTTGTATTGTCCTTGACAGGTTTCGATACCACTGCTTTGCTTGTCTCAATAAGCTGATTTGGAAATATTCCATATTTGTTGAATTTTTCTGTGAGATCAATATATTTTTTCCATTTATTTATTGGAAGAATGCAAATATTCTTATTGGAATAATTTTAATTATAGATTTTTAAAAATAGTAATCTAAATTTTATGTTTATTGTCTCAGTTTTCCTGAATTGTGTTTTGCAAGGATTGTCTTCCATCTAAAATTTTCAAGTTCATTGGCATGAAGTTATTTATATTCTCTTATTAAGAATATTAAAATAGGGCTGGGACTGTGGCTCAGTGGTAGGGCGCCCGCCGTGCACGTGTGAGGCCCTGGGTTTGATCCTTAGCACCAAATAAAAATGTTTCCATCTACAACTAAAAAAAAAGTTAAAAAAGAATATTAAAATATATTAATAGTCTCATCTCTTATTTAATTGTCTTTTTCAAAATTAGAGCATTTTAGTTGTACACTATAGTAGGGTTCATTTTGACAAAATCATGAATGTGTCGAATTTGATTTTCTTTCCTGTTTGTCCCTTTCGTTCCCTTCTCCCCTGCCCCTTTCCTTCTTCTCTCCCCTACCTTGTTTTCCTTCCTCTACTCATCTATTTGCTCATTTATTTATTTATTTTTGATTGGTATTTTCAACATATACATAAAGGGATAATTCCCTGAAGTATATTTGTATATGCACATAACATGATTTTGTTAAATTCATTCTGCATTTCCTCCCATTTCCCATCCTTCTTCCTTCCTCTCTGTCTCTGCTCCTCCTCTGCTGATATTTCCTTTATCTTGGTGATACTAACCCCCCCACCCCCAGCCTTCTTTCCCTTATTTTGCTCCAGCTTCCACATAGGAGAGAAAACATTTGACCACCCTTTATTTTCTGGGCCAGTCTTACTTCACTTAGCATGATGCTGTCCATTTCCATCCATTTACCAGCAAATGCCATGATTTCATTCTTCTTCATGGCTGACTAGAACTTCATTGTATATACATACATTTTCCTGATTCTTCATCTGTTTACAGGCATCTGGAGTGGTTTCATGACTTGGTGACTGTGAACTGCCCTGCTGTAAACACTGAAGTTGCTAGATTGCATTGATTCTGTGTATTGATTTTTTTATTCTCAATGTCATTAATTATTTCCCAACCATTTTATTTGTATCCTCATTTTTGCTTCATTCTTCATAGTGCTAATGTTTCTTGTCTTTTTCAATCCTTGATATGCCTTACTATCTTTTATTTTTAGAAAAGAGATAACTTGATTTTTTAAAATTTTTAACTGTATTGTTGGATATGTGTACTTTAGCAGTTATTTTCAGTGTTTTTATTTGTAGGGGTATTTCTATCTCCTTCCTGGATCCTTCCCTGCAGATTCATGGTACTTTGTTGTGGGAATTTGCCATAGTTCATTTGCCTACTCTCTTGGGCCAGGTTGGAGTGAATGACCTTATACATACATATTGACAGGTTGTAAATATGTGTCTTAACTGGGGCTACTGTAACTAAATGCTTCTAGTGGGGGCTCAGGACGAGGCGGAGTCCTCCAGCATGCCAGCCCCTTGCTGCCCAAGGCCCTACTGGCTTCTTTCCCACTAGCCACCTTTCCTGGACTCTTCTGGCTCTCAGACCTGAGCTTCCTGTAGGAAGAAGCAGCTGTCAGGAATTGGGTTCTGGGTCCATCTCCATCGCTGTTGTTCGGGCTGCCACAGATTGTCTCTTCCTCAAGCCCAAAAACATCAGTTTTGTTTTGTTTTCTTAAAATCCATATTTTCAGTTTAATCTCAAGGTGAGTTTATGAAATAATGCAGTCACTTAGGCTATTTTGTTTTCAGTAGTTCTCAATCAGAGTCTCTTGCTTAACCTGACTTGACTAAGTGGGAGGAACTTGTTTTGATTCTAGTGCATTTATTTATTTATTTGTTTGTTTGTTTTATTTTTATTTTTTTTTAAGAGAGAGAGAATTTTAATATTTTATTTTTTAGTTCTCGGCGGACACAACATCTTTGTTGGTATGTGGTGCTGAGGATCGAACCCTGGGCCGCACGCATGCCAGGCGAGCGCACTACCGCTTGAGCCACATCCCCAGTTCCTGATTCTAGTGATTTTAGTTGCCAGTCTTAGTATGAATAAAGTCTACTCATTGAGTTTTTGCTGTAGGAAGAATGAACTTTTTTCTTAGGGGAAAGTTCTCAAAACTGGGCAATATTTTTAATTAACAAATCTGGCTTTTGCTATGAGATTTTCCCACAAAATTCAAGACTGTAGAAGTAAAAGGGAAGGGACATAGATAGCACAATGAGTTTTTTACATTACTTAAACAGGAGTCCTGCTCTTCAAATGAATTCTCCAACAAGTTTGTGTTATACTGTGGTCAGTCAGGCCCCTGCCTTGGGCATGGGGACACAGTGATTACTTTGGCAGGTTAAGACCCTATTCACCTCAAATTTCTTCTGCATGATACATCATGGGAGAGAGTGAAGAATGGTGTTGATAATATAAATACGAATGCATCAGATTGTGATTTGATTTCAAATATTGGACATTGAAAAAAAACTTTTTTCTCTTAACAGAATATGATAGATACCTAGCATCCAGCAAAATAATGGCAGCTGCTTACCTTGATCCCAACTTGAACCACACGCCACACTCAAGTGCTAAGACCCACCTGGGTCCTGGCATGGAACGTTCCCCTGGTGCCATGGAGCGAGTATTGAAGGTCTTTCATTATTTTGAAAGCAATAGTGAGCCAACCACCTGGGCCAGTATTATCAGGCATGGAGATGCTACTGATGTCAGGGTAAGTATATCTCCCAGGCGACATTATTTTAAGTTTAAGGATATATACAAAAAAAAGATGAAGAGGTTCTTACTTATCGGGTACTTTCCAAGTTACAGAAATGTCAGGGATGTTACCTTTTTCCTTTTAAGCTTTATTTATTTACTATGTGACTGACGATAGTTTTAGTTATAAAATTTCTTAGGAAAATATTAGCTGAATCATATTCATATAATGGTATTGACTTGTTCCTCCCCCCCCCCCCGTTTTTTGAGTTCTTGAAAGAGAGGTTTTTATTTCTTGTGTTTCAATTAATAAAGTTTACGCCTTTTACATGTATGTGCTGAGTGATTGTTTTAAAGATTTGTTTGCTAAAAGGATTCACAGGATTCCACAGTTTGTAGGTGAAGTGTCAGTTCACAGTGATTCCTTTCAGAAACTGGAGAGAGCAGGTGCCTCTGGGCTTGGCATGTGCCTTCTTCCAGATTGAAGACCATCCCGGCTCTCTGTGTAGCACCTCAATATGAGGAAGCCTCAGGCCTCTGGTGGTGTGGCTTGTGAGCTGGTCACATCGACACTTGACGTGCAGGATCAGCCTGCACCCATGTCGCCACCCAGGTACCACCAAAATCAGACGCAAGACATGAATCTAGTCATGGTTACTGAGCAGTGTTGCCAGCCTGCTATGTTATTTCCCTAAGCAACTCGGGAATCTGTGACTACAGACCTTACTTATCTTGGTCATGTCTTTGGCCAGGTATCAAGCCCATGGTCTAGACTGCTCTGGTCACAAGCATGGATCACTTCAGACAGCAAGATGAACCCAGCCTGTACAATGTTAAGATGAGTCATTCAGCCAGGTGTGGTGTCACACATCAGTGATCCCAGCAGCTCAGGAGACTGAGGCAAGAGAATCACAAATTCAAGGCCAGTCTGGGCAACTTAGCAAGACCCAGTCTCAAAAGGGGCTGTGGGCTGTGGGCTGTGGCTGTGGCTGTGGCTCAGGCTCAGTGGTACAGTGCTTGCCTCATATGTGTAAGGGACTGGGTTTGATTCTCAATACCACGTATAAATGAATAAAGCATCAACAATTTAAAAAAATGGTAAATTTTATATTATGGGATGCAGCTCAGTGGTATAGCATCCTGGGTTCAATACCCAGTAAAACACACACATATATATGCAGGTCAGTCATCCACAAACATTGTACTTATATTTTAGAATATGACAATATAGAGAAAATTACAGTCTACTCAAGATAGACGCCCCTCCCTACCTAGGAGAAGGAATGCTGTTTACATCAGACTTCCCTTAAGTGACTACATGTGCAGGTAAATGTTGACTGTTATCTTCAAAGGGCTCAGGACAGAGAGTGACTTGTTCTTCAGAAGATGATACCAGATAATTATTAATCAAGAAAATCCAGAATGAAGAAGATTCCTGCAGGAAAGCAGTGATGTGGAAAGTTAACGCACAGCTAAAATACTTAGGGTGTGATTGTCGGAGCAGAAAAGCTAGAAGGAGCCACGGCAGCCATCCAGCAGGAGAATGGATGGTGAGGCCCATAAGCAGGCCACTGCCTGTCTATGGTCTGCCTTGCTCCTCTCTAGAGTTCCCCTCACCTCCCAAGGCTATGGCACAATCTGACCCAGCGCCCTGCCTGTCCCTGCCGAGGGAGCTCGGGTTTGTCTAGGCCCAGCCTTGGTGCCACCCAGTTGTCACGCTGCACTGGCATCCCTCCTGGAGTATGCTGTGCTGTAGCGCACTTTGCAGATACTGTTTTCTTTTCCTTTATACAAATTGAGGTTTGTGTCCATGCTATGTTGAGTAATTCTGTGGCACCATTTCCCAGGAGAGTGGACTCACTTCATGTCTCTGTCACATCTTGTCAATTCTCACGTATTTCCAACTTTTTTGTTACTGTTAAGGCAGTTATGGTCACCTGTGATCTTACTGCCATAATCATTGAAGGCTCTACACACACAGCCATGAAAGGCATCAGACTTAATTGATAAATTATGTGTGGGTTGTCCCTGCTCCAGCCACTGGCCACCTCCTGTCTCTCCCTCTCCTCCAGCTTTTCTGTTACCTGAGGTACAGTGTATTGACGTTGTGCCATCTAACAACCCACAGTAGTCTCTGTTCAAGTGGAAGGAAGAGCTGCAAGTCTCTCACTTAGAATCTAAAACTGATGAAGCATTATGAGGAACGCCTTTGTGCCAAATGTAGCCAAGTGGAGTGCAAAGGGAGATTCTGGAAGGAAGTGCTGCTTCAGTGAGTGCATGAATGACAAGAAAGTGAAACACCTTATTGCTGAATGGAGGCAGTTTTAGCAGTCTAGACAGACCATCCAGCCACCCAGGGCATCCCACAAGCCAAAGCTTAGCCCGAAACAAGGCCCTCTCTCTCCAGTTCTGTGAAGGCTGAGAGAGATGAGGAAGCTGCAGAAAAAAAGCCCAAAGGCAGCAGAGGATTGTTCTTGAGGTGGAAGGGCAGGAGCTGGCTCTACAGAAGCATAAGAGAAAGAACCATCAAGTGCTGACGTGGCAGCTGCAGCTCATCACCCAAGAGATCTAGTCCGGGAGTCAGTGGAGGTGGCCGCGCTTCGTGGTGTGCTTCCCGTACCAAGGGAGCAGCCTTCTGACAGAAGAAGGTGCACCTGGGACTTCCATAGGAGGAGCTCGAAGTCAGTGCCAGCTTCCGAGGAAGAGGGATTCTTCCTCACCAGATCTGCAGAGTGGGATTGTGTAGTGGCAGAAGTGTGGCCACTAAGACTGGTATGCTCTAAGCCCCAGAACCCGTGGGTGTTCTCTCACATGGTCTAAAGGCCTTCACAGATGTGGCCTGGGAACAGGGAAGTCCAACACCAGCGACTTTACATGTCTGTGGTCAGAGGGAAGTGACTGTGACAAAGGGTCAGATGCCATGTTGTTGGCTTTTGAATGGAGGAAGGAACTGTGAGCCAAAGCATGCCAGTGCACCAAGAATCTGCAGGCAGCAAAGCCAGAGCTCCAGAGAGACCCACTTTAGACTGGTGCTCTCTAGATCCTGAAGACAATGCTTTGCGCTGTGTGAGCCCTGAGAGTGTGGTGACTGTTGACTTAGGCAGTGGAAGTGTGTTCTTTTAGTGGAGGGCTTTGTAGAAACAGGACTTAAAGCTCTGGACTGGTTGGATGACTTAGTGATGGGTCCTGGCAGTACAGGGTGTGATCAGAGAAGAAGATGGGGATGCTTTCACTTCTTGAAGAATGTCCAGAGGAGGAGTACATAGAGGAAGGAAATGCCACACACTGCAGGTCAGTCCTAGGAGGACATAATGGCACTATGTGGCTTCGATGTCTCTTTCTTATGATAATGAGCTCATCTTTAAAATTAAGTGTGGGGAGATAACTGGAAACATCAAACCTCCTTTTTGCATGGTTCCCTGCCTTACCTCCCCCCATCCCCAGTCAGCCGTTGCTCACTTGCAGCGTTCACTGTCAGTGCTCCTGCTAGACTCTGGCCCTTCGTGGGTGAAGATGGCACCTCACCTGGGCTCGAGTTGCTAGTGTCACATACACAGTGGGTTCATGAACTGGAGGAAAGCGTCCTATGACACACTCCTGAGAGCAGTAAAGGTTTCGTTCCACAGCACTGCCTAAAAGATGGAGGACCAGATGGAACCAGGCAAACTCAGGCGGACACTGTGCAGCCTCGTCTCATTGGGAAGCAGCAAGAAAAAGCCTGGGGTGTGTTCTGTGGTTCTGCTGTTAGCATTGTGGCAGGCAGGCCAGCAGCAGGGGTCACGGCCTCTCAGAGCCACCCTGGTGCCAGCTGCTTGCCTCCCTGAGCATGTTTTGTGGCAGCTGCTCCTGAGGCAGCTTTTCCATTTCTACATGTGCCTGTGGTGTGGCAGCACCTCTCTCAACCACACAAGCACAAACACTACCCATCAGCAGGGAAATGACTACGTCTACTCCTGCTGCCAGAAATGCAGACGTGGGCTTCTTTTACTTTAAACTTTAAAAAAGAGTTCTTTTACCAAAATATCAATATAAGAATATAATCCAGGGCTGGGGATGTGGCTCAAGCGGTAGTGTGCTCGCCTGGCATGTGCGGGGCACTGGGTTCGATCCTCAGCACCACATAAAAATAAAATAAAGATGTTGTGTCCACCGAAAACTAAAAAATAAATATTAAAAAAATTCTCTCTCTCTCTCTCTCTCAAAAAAAAATTATATATTTTCAATAAAATTGGGTATTTTAAAAATCTGGAACAGATAGAAAAGTGGAGGCTTCAGAGTAGCTGAGTATTGTTTTGTATTTCCTATGACAAGTTTGTCATGCACAGTAGGATGAGAATTTAAATTTTTATTCAGCTAACTTTAGTAGTATTTATAAACCATGTTCTCTCACTCCCTGGGGACATTCACATTTATAAATGTATGCATGCCAGAAGTGAGTGCTGTATATCTGAACGAGTATGTGCTATGGAAATGGCAGCCGTTAGTGTCTGTGAGTTTCTCCCTCACTAACCTCTGCTTCTCAGGTACTTGCTGAGCTGTTCACAAGCAAATACTTGGTGCTCAAGATAACATCTGTAAGCTGTTGAGTATGTGCATCTGTTGTGATTTGGATGTGAGGTGTCCCGCGGAAGCTCATGTGTGAGACTAACGCAAGAATGTTCGGAGGAGAAATGATTGGGTTATGAGAGTCTTGACCCAATCAGTGAATTAATTGCTGATAGGATTAACTGAGTGGTGACTGGAGGCAAATAGAATGTACTGGGGAAGTGGTCAATTGGGAGCATGGCTATGGGGTATACTTTTGTACCTGGCAAGTGGAGTCTGTCTCCTTGTTTCCTGATCACCATGGGAGCTGCTTCCTCCACTACCCTCTTCTACCATGATATTCAGCTTTACTTCAAGCCCTGTGGAATGGAGCCATCCTTCCAGGGACTAAGACCTCTGAAACTGTGAGCCCCCAAATAAACTTTTTTTTTTCTACAATTGTGCTAGTCAGTCTTTTAGTCGTACCAGTGAAAAAAAACAGACTAAATCAGCATCAGCTCCATATACTTAAGAACCCCACATTTCATGTTTGCCACTGTCCAGAGACTCTGAGGGAAAGAATAAGGAAAAGATGGAACACAGTGTAGACACATAATGAGAAAGCACAGCACAAAACAGGGAACCCCTTGCATTGTTATACTTTTAGTTACTTGGAGGAGTGTGAAAGTGTGACAATATGGAAAGTGCTACAATACGGAAACTGAAGTCACCTGGGTCTCTTCAGGCAGTGTGGTCCAGGGAGTAGACTCAAAGTCATTCTCCTCCAACAAGCAACAAGACCATGGGCCTTTTCTGAAGCAGGGCTGCTCCAGGTTCAGCCTCTCCGTGGACACTGGTTTACTGCAGGTGGGTTCCAGGAGCTGCTCTGTGCGCTGAGAGGAAACGAAGGGGACCTTTTTGTGGGATCGTCAGTGAGAGCACCCAGAGAAGAGGAATTTCCCTTGGATGTGAATGGTGGCAGACACTAGTATTAAGAAATGATTAATACCCTGCGTGGCTTTGCAGTTGGCTTCTGGGTATAAACAGACCAGTTTACTAAAACAGATTAGAGAGACAGGCTTTTGTTCTAGTTCCAACAGCAGAGGGCTTGCTCTTGAACCATGGTGACAATGAGATATAAGGCATGTGGCACACTGTGCAAAGGGTAGCTGGTGTCACTGCCCAGTTCCTGAGCCGCAGGTATTCGTGTGACAGGCAGTGCAGCACCAAGGTCACTAGTGTCATGGCCCAGTTGCTGAGCCACAGGTATTGGTGTGACTCACTGTGCACCATAAGGTGACTAGGTTGCTGCCCCGGCTGCTGAGCTGGCAGATCTGGGAAGGGGGACAAAGCTGCTTTTGTGGGGATTCCAGAGTGGCGCCAGTCCCCTTGCTCGTAGGCCAGGGACATGCGTGCTGGCAAGGAGAAGCTACAGAGCTCTGCTTGGAGAGAGTCCGTAAGCAACGACCCTTATCCAGGCAACCCTCACCTAGTGCACAAGATCCCAAGTCAGTAACTGGGCTGATGATTCCCACGACTGGACACCCTTGTGCAGTGTACAGCCTGGACGTCATCTACACCAGCCCTGTCAGAATTCCAGGCTTTTTGCCTCAAAAAGCCAGAAAGGACACTTTATGCCTCCCTCAGATCCAGATGGAGGGCTGCCGGCCAGAGACCACCCCCCAGGACGAGAGGCTGTTGGTGTAGTCTTAGGACTGCCATGGACCACCGGAGCCTGATCCTCTGTTGGTGCTCTGACAGCTTGTCTGCTCTCCATCACTGTTCCTGGGTGTGGTTGGACACCTGAAAGGAAGCTCAAATGGCTGCCTCACCCATTCAGCACTCAGGGAGCTCCACCAAGCCAGACTCCAGGGCACTGTGCAGTCTCCATTGTTTGTGAATGTGCTGTGTCATGTTTGTTTGTTTTAATGGAGAGGCGGGGAACATCCTGTATTGTATTATCAACAGCATGAGGCCATAATGAATAAATAGCAAGTGTGGGAATTTAAAAAAATGTGGCTTACATTACAAGTTATTGTAGCTTTAGTTAATTGCTAATTTTTAATAACTAGTGATGATTTTTTTTCATAGACATGTTTTGTTATAAAATTAGCATTACTTTAACAAGCTTTTCTCATACCAGGTATGGTGACATGAGCCTGCAAACCCTCTGGCTCAAAAGATTGAGACAGGAGGATTGCAAATTTAAGGCCAGCTTCAGCCACTAAGCAAGGCTCTGTTTCAAAAATAATAATTAAAAAAAAAGTTTGGGGATTTGGTTTAGTACCAAAGTGACCCTGGGTTCAAAGAACTCTTACCCTCTCCCCCCCGCCCTGGCCCCCCAAAAAAGCAGCTTTTCTCAATTATTGGAAAGCCTGGGAAGTGTGCCCCTGGGTCCTGGCTTTCTGTGCCTCTCTCATGAAGGGTAGCACTTGAGTCCTCACACCTGCTGACACCTTCTTAGCGTCTCCACAGGGACAGTGTGGGGTGGGAGCTAGCTCTCACGCCCCCCTCCTCCAGACTCAGGGACAGGTGTGATGCAAGCTTTGGGGCATTATAGGCTGCTGCATACTCTGTGAGAGCAGAGAGTAGACTGATGAGGCCCTCAAAGAACTCTTTATTTTGAACATCACCTGGAACATGGGCTTAATTGAATGTTCCTAAACGTGTGTTTTTAGAAAACGTGATGTTTTAGCCTGGTCTTGAGAAATGTTCCGACCTCCCCTTGGGCCAGTCCTTGGGAAGTGGAACCTGAAGAACGCTGGCGCACCTTGGCAGAGCTGGGGTCATGTGAGGGCGGCGTTGCAGAGTGTTGAAGTTAACTGTGCTGCGTTTATCAGGAAGGACTTGGAAGAGCATCTTACTGTTTGTTTTTCTAAAACTTCCCTTGTTCATAAAAATCTTTCTTGGAAACAAATTCCTATATAAAATTAACTGTTAAGTTATTTAACTTGATGCTCTTTTACCAAAGATGTCTGGTAATTAAAAGAGACAGACTTTTCATTTTCTTTTTTTTTCTTTCTTTCTTTTTTGGTTACTGGGGACCTAAACCAGGAGGAGGGCTCTACTGCTGAGCCACATCCCCAACCTTTTTTATTTTTATTTTGAGTTGGGTCTCATTAATTGGTTAGGTCCTTGCTAATTTACCCAAACTTGAAATCCTCCTGCCTTAGCCTCCTGAGCTTCTTAGGTACATGTGTGGCCACCACCTCGTGCAGTCTTTTTGGTTTCTTTGTTTCGTTGTCGTCTTTTTCAGTACAAGGGAGTGAACTCAGGGACATTTAACCACTGAGCCATCTCCCCAGCCCTATTTTGTATTTTATTTAGAGACAGGGTCTCACTGAGGCTGGCTTTGAACTTGTGATCCTCTTGCCTCAGCCTTCTAAGCTACTGGGATTATAGATGTATGCACTGTGCCTGGCTCTTTTTGTTTCTTAACAGCTCTTTCTGTGGGATGTATTCCAGGGCATCATCCAGAAGATAGTGGACAGCCACAGAGTGAAGCACGTGGCTTGCTACGGGTTCCGCCTCAGCCACCTGCGGTCGGAGGAGGTTCACTGGCTGCATGTGGACATGGGTGTCTCCAGCGTGAGGGAGAAGTATGAGCTTGCCCATCCTCCGGAGGAGTGGAAGTAAGACACACACCCCACTTGGTTTGTTTCATGTGTCAAAAACATGCACAGTGCATTGGTGCATGCTTAGTATTCACACTGCTCGTCGTCGTAGCTCCTGTGTAAAGGAAGTGGGTTTGTAATTGCTGGCCAGTGCTGCTTCAGAGGCTAGGTCCACCTAAACCACCACCCATCTTTTGCCATGCACCTTTCTTTTCAGGGCTGCTTGTGTCCACCTCTGTTCTAAATAGAAGGCGAGCCCCAACTCTTTACCTTCTGATCTATGGCCTCTGTTTATGTCGCAGGGCTTGATCTGCCCATCAGTAAACTTCTGGTTACCTTATTCATGGCTGCAGGTCACCTGAGAAGCATGAGTATGTGTGTGACATCCACAGGGAACACGGTTAGGAAGTGGTCTCTTCGTGACTTTTTCTGAAACTTTAAATTAAACTGAAATGATTTTAGGTGAATTGGAAGAAATCCCTATAATTATCCTTTTTCTGTTTCTCCCATAACGATTTATTTATTTATTTATTTTACTCCTAATTTCAGATGTGAGCTGGAAACTGCATCTAAAGTAATAAATTTGAGCCAGGCATAGTGGTACATGCTTGTAATCCCAGTGGCTTGGGGGGCCCAGGCACGGGGATCGCAACTTAGGGCAGCCTCAGCAACTTAGCAAAGCTCTAAGTAATGTAGTGAGACTCTTTCTCAAAAAAGGCTGGGGATATGGCTCAGTGGTCAAGCTCACATGAGTTTAATCCCCAATATCAAAACTAAATTAATTAAATAAAAAATAAATAAATTTTGAGAGAGGGCTGGAGTTGTGGCTCAGTGGTAGAGTGCTTGCCTGGCATGTGTGAGGCCCTGGGTTCAATCCTCAGCACCACATATGAATAAATAAAATAAAAAGATCCATTGACAACTAAAAAATATTTTTAAAAAAATAAATAAATTTTGAGAGAAGCATAACTGGTAACAAGGGGCCTCTTTCAGGGGGTTCTCTTTGTAGGTACTGATGCAGAAATCAAGCAATGTGTAGACAGTGTACGCAGTGGTCAGTCATATTCGGTCCAAGGGTATAAATTAGAATTTTGAGAGCAAAGAAAGCACATTTTGTGGAAACAATCTGTATCTGAAGTGCAGACAACCAGTCTTGTCCCGGTTCCAGAGTGCGTCAGAAGCACAGCTTGGTTTCAAACGTGTCACGTAACAGGAACTAGCTAACCAAATTCTCCTGGAGCATGTGGTGTCACCGGCTTGCATCAGTGGCCAGGGAAGGTCTGAATGACAGCTGTGTGATCAGCTAAGTGGTGAAGTATGTACATGCTGAGGATAGCTGCCAGTCTGCTCGAATGCCTGGGCACTTTTGTTAAGACGCTTCTGTCATCTTCATAGATACAGGCGTGTCAGTTTTACTTAATGACATTCCTAATGAGTAATAACATATTCAGTGAACCTAACTCTGCAAGTATGCAAGCTTTTTTTGTTCTTCTTTTAAGCCAATTTATTTTACCTTGTTCCAAGTAAAGTTGAATAAGAATTGTTGTTGATAAAACAGTAGATTAGATATAGCTGAAAAACTGCTCAGAACATTGTGTGAGGTGAACACATAGAAAATGTGAAAGCAGGTTTATGTAACATAAAAAGTCAACCTACTTCTAGTAGATAATCTAGACTAATGAAAGAATGGGGAAGAAGGGAATGCCTCGTGCGTCAATGGCTGCGAATGTTCTAGAATCAGTGAGAAAGGAGCCCTCAAGTGAGGGGTTGACTTGAAATCCCTAGCAAAGGCAAGGACTAGACGGACAGGTGGGCAGACCCAGGTGGCAGTGCCAGCCAGTGAGCCCAACCAGGTGTTCAGAGCAGCAGGGGAAGATCCAGATGCTTCAGGAGGCTCAGCAAAGAAGCTGGTGATCAGAGAGTTCACCAGCATAGGGAACCAGCAGAATGCACACAAGAAAGAAAAATGGTCTTCAGAGGAGGATTTCAGGCACAAGAAGGAAAATAATTGGTTGGCTGTCAGCACACACTGGCTCTTGAAACAAAAGTAACAGAAAGGCCTGGTGTGTAGTTTGAAGAGCATTATTACTTCTCACAGTAAATAAAATATAGCACAGATAGTAACTAGTAAAAGAAGGTGTCTGCAGCCTGTTAGTATGTTCAGAAGATGCTCCAGAAACATTTGTAAAGGCATCATAGTAAGAAAATTTCATTTCCTCAAAAAGAAGGTGCATGCTCTTCATTTGGCTTCCCAGATGCCTGCTCTGATCTCCTGTTTCAGGGCTTATCCCTGGTGCCTTGGTGAGCCTGCACACTCCCTTCTCCTCTCCCTGAAGCCTCCCTAGACCTGGCTTTGACATTAGCTTCACACATTCAACTGGACAGGCATGGGAGCAAGTCACTGCTGTCTCCCAGTGGAGGCCTGGTGCTAAGGGAGTGCGCTAGGGATCCTCAGAAAGCCATGCAGTTAAACACATAGGTCTTTGCACCCCAGCAGCTACCAGGAGCTTCTTATCACACGAGGGCAAACTCCACGGGTTCTGATTCCCTGCAGTCTTGTCTCCTGCTGCTGTTCTCCTTCCCCTATTTTGTGATGTCTGCTCCTTTGAAGGTCCAATTCCTACTTGACTCTTTAGTATATATTTTTATTAACAAAATATTAATTTATGCACTAAGAAACTCATATGCTAATAACTCAATTATAAAAGCATCCAGCATTAAGAAGTGTGTTGGCACAGGCCCTTGTATTCAGCAGGCAGGCAAGTGCTATGGAAACCATTTTCATGAATACCCAGGCTGGGGTTGGGAGAGCTGGTTCTGAACCAGCTTTGTGGAGTGGAGAATAGCTTCGCCCTCGATCTTCACCATCACCACCCTCATCTCTCCTCCACTGCTTTGTCTTGTCTTGCTTTTCATGTCTTGTTTCCAGCCCTGCCTGTCCCATTGGTCTTGTTGCCCTGCCTGTTGCTCCTTGGGTGGATCTAGGGAGAGGGCTCCTGCACCTTTCCAGCCTGGCTGGGGCCTCCTCCTTCAGGGCCAGGGTATAGCCAGCCTCCCTCGAGGACTTGGACCTATTCATGCTCTGCTCCTGTAAATGAATTGTTTCATTTTATTAATGTTTTCTAATAAATGTGTTTGACCTATAAGTTGCCTTTTAAATTTTGATTTGTCTGTTTCATAAATCTGATAAATGTTTTTTTAAAAATATTTATTTTTTAGTTGTAGTTGGACACAATATCTTTATTTTTTAATTTTTATGTGGTGCTGGGGATCGAACCCAGAGCCTCCCACACGCTAGGTGAATGCTCTATCGCTGAGCCACAATCCCAGCTCTGATTAATGTTTTTATTGTCAATTCATACTTTATAATTTAAAAAATTCAAAGATTTTCCCCTTCAATCATAGAATTATTTAGGTATATACTATTCAGGTTTTAGCTATAAGTAAATTTACCAAAAGAAAATATTCTTTTGTTTTCTTGCTTTATAGGAAAAATAGTGTTTTTATGACAAACTCTGTGGATGATTCTTTGTGCCTTCCTGTCTCATTGGCATTTTCATCAGTTTTGAAAGGACTGCATGTCCTGTGATTGGAAAGAGGTGTGTCCTGTGCCTTCCCTTAAGCTTATTGTTAAGCCTGTGAAGATGACATTTGCATTTTGTCTGCTTGAAAAATGGCATTAATGTATTCAGCTATAATTTTTTATCAGCTAATTTTTTCTTAGAGGTTCTGTCTTGTGTTAGGAGTTTAAGGCTACCCTGGCAAGAGCATGAAGGCTCCTGATCACGGCATCTTCCTCTGCTCTTGGACTTGGTGGTGTAAGCATCCCTTCCTTATGCCTTTTATCAATGCCCTACCACCTTTAGTTGGTGTTGCCCATTTAATTAGAGGTGTGCCCTATTCCTAGTGATATTCTTTGTTTCTGTCTCCAGATGTAGCCACCATGCTCTCTTCCTCTTTTTAAATTTGCTCTGGTGCAGGGGATCAAACCCAGGGCCTTGTGTGCCCCGGGCAGACCTCTATCACTGACCTGTGGTCCCATCCTGGGCATCTGACTTTTGACATAATCAGTTTCTTAATTCAGTGGAAATGTTCTACTCATATATTGTCCACACCTGAGATCATATGCTTCCTTCTCTGAGTCATGCATGGGGCTTTTAGAAGAGCTGTGCCAGTCAGTGACAACCTCCCTGAGAAGAACATGCTGTTGATGCCAGTGAGGTTTGAGAAGCATGAATCTGAGCAGCCAGCTCTGGGGATGCAAGCAGTGTTACCAGCTTCAGGACCGTGGTGAGGTTTGGCTCTTCCTGACTGTTGAGGATCTGGAAACATGCTCTTCAGAGTCAATTCCTGCTTCATTGAGCTGGAGAAAGCACTGCCTCGCTTAGTGGTCCTAGTGTGCCTGTTCACTGAGCCACATTGTTAGTGGATGGAGTAATGGTGCTTCAGAATGAGTTTTGTTGGGTCTGTGGCTGTATAATTGGTATTTTAGGCCACACTGACATAAAACTGGTTCTGGAAAGTATTTATTACTTTACCACAGAAGGATCAACTTTGGAGTGTAGGAGTTTTAACATTCTCGGTAATGCATCAAGTCCTGTGTACCCTCACCTAGCTTTAATAGTACAGTCACAGGCAAACAGCAGAATTAACCCAGAAGCCCAGTGTGGACACCGCACTGCTCTCTGACCTTCTGGCCTCTGCACAGTTGCTGCCACTTCTCAAACCTCCTGGGATCCTTTCCTGCCTGGTCTGTCCTTAGTTTGCCTGTGCTGTTCCTGCCTTTTGACACTTGAGAAGAATACTGACCAGTTATTTGTTCTGTGCTCCTCAATTGGGCTTGTCAGTTTTTTTTTTTTTCATGATTTTGTGAAGGTTATGCATTTTTGGCAAAACACTCCTGAAGTCTGTAATGTCAGCATTGGATATCAGGGTAAGGTGGAGGCAGCAGGCTGCTCCCCCACGTGGTCACTTTTCCTCATGCCATCTGCACAGGCCCTGTGGAGAGTGGTGCCAGTTCTGTGTCCTCACTCACTGATCGCAGCACCCCTCATGGCGCAGTCACACAGAGATTACTGCTGTGACTTCCACGCAGTGAATGTTTCTGTTCTTCCCTTCTCAGTTGCTGTTGACTGGAGGCCACTAAGGAATGCCCTGTCCACATGCTGATGCCAAGGGCTGTCTGTGCCATTTCCCATGGTGCTTCATTTCACAGGCAGACTGGCACTGGCCCCCTCAGTGTCCAGGTGGAGCCTGGTCCAGCTTAGCTCCTCTGGAACCCCTGTGTTCCTACCAATCATTGGCTAACTTGTGGGCATCCTCATACTCTGAGTTGGTGGTCAACCTGAGGAAGCCAGACAACAGTGGCACTGATGGGAGTGCGTGGCTTAGATTAGCAGCCAAAGGATGATCTTATTTGGGGTGTGTTGTGTTCACTGCAGCGTACATATCAGGATACACCAGGCATTTGGAATGGTTGCAAAGCGTAGGAGGGTGAGGAGCTTGGCAGACAAGAGGGATGAGGGGCAGTGGAAGGCATCATCAGGTGGCATGCTGGAAGGATGAAGGAGAGGTGATTGGATAGATTAAATTTGGCCACCTTTAGCAGAGTTTCAGTGGTGTTCTTATGAAGTCTGCTTGAGTGTGTTGGGGCAGGGACCATGGTCCTTGGCCCACATGCAACAAGCTCCATGCAAGTTCCGATGTGGGTTCTGGGTGCTTTCTCCTGGTCTTGGGTTACTGTGGACATTGTACATGTCTTGCTGGAGAGGAGTCCCTCATCTGCTAGCAGATGGGGCACCTTGGGAATACAGCCCCTTTAGCTCTTTCCCTGGGAGTGGAGTGAGTATTGCCCTGGCCATTGTTCCTCAGAGCCTTGCAGTTGCCTCGTGGTGCCCTGCTTCCTCTGGGGTCCTGCCGCCCTTTCTGTATGGTGCAGTCTAGTTCAGGGACCATCTCTCCTATGGTGTCACCACCCTGCTATGACACTCTTTGCCCACTGAGAAGGAGCTGCAGGGTCCTGACTTACAGGGCCTGTGTGCCCTGCTGCCTCACTCCTCACACCCTTGCTTAGTCCCCTGGCTGTGTTGGGTTACACAAGGATCTCCTGGCCCCGTGGCCTTGGTTTGTTTGGACCTTTCTTTCTCTGCATGTGTGTCACTCACTTTCTCACCTCCTTGACTTGGAGCCTGTATCAGAATGCCCTTTTCTAGCCGCTTCCTGTCGAGGCGCACTTACTTTCGTTCTCTAGTGGCTTGTTGGTCTCTGTGACATTTGCTACCACTTTACATAGACCTTACAAGCTTTATGAGAGCCGGGACCTGCCTCGTTCTGCTAGGTCTCAGACATGCTTGGTGTTGTCCCTGTGAGTGAAGACCATCAGGATAAACCTTAGAGATCCCTGCTATGGCTGGGATGTTCTAGATGTCTGTGTTTGCAGATGGCTTATTTTTCCTACTTCCTAGGAGGAAGTTGAGGCTGAGAGGTTGCTGAGAGCCACAGCCGACTGCGGCAAGAGGTGAAGGCTAACTTAAGTGATATGACTGGAGCTCAGGTGCTGGCAGTCTTGCTCAAGAGCCCACATTCCTTCCGCTTCTTATGAAACAAAGTCATCTGTGTAAAATTCTCATTGAAACTTGTGTCATGTACCAAGTATTCAATAGGTATTAATCTCCATCAGCAACAGGGTGCTGTGTGTGGACCCATTTTTGGACTATTTGCTTATCTTTAAAATGGGCATAATATTAGTGCTGGAAGCCTCCTTTGGCTTCCCTGAGTCCTGAGCATATAAGCTCAGAACTGACCACTTACTCTTGTTCAGTATCATTTCCTGGCCTGATCTTGACATTGATGAAGAGAAGTCACGGAAGGCAGTTAAGTGCTGGCTAGCCCTGCATTTAACATAGATGAGATCTGTGTCACTTCTGTAAAAATCACCCAACACAGAATGGCTGCCATAAGTCATTGAACTCTTTATGGAAGTAAAAGTGAAACAGAACCTAATTGTTTGGTAACTATGTATTTTAATGAGACAGAACTGATGTATGAAGTGACCTTTTCATTCCAAAATAGATACTATTAGGAAGGCAGGTTGACAGGGCAGGAGAGGGCGGTGGATGTCTACCAAGGCCTCGTGTGTAAACACACAGAGCTGGCAGTATGGAGGGGTGGTAGGAAATGAGACAGAGCACTCAGTGGGGCAGAGCATGCAAGGAGGCCAGGCACTTTGGGTGCGAAAGGAGGTGGTAATTTGCACCTGTGCCAGAGTATTCAGTTAGAATGTGGAGGTGTCCCCATGGAGAAGGCAGCTAAAACTGCCATGTCCAATTTTGTTGTGCTGTTGGGAACAAGTAGAAAGGTAGAGACCAGGTGGACCAGGGTGTGGAGAAGGCCAAGTGTGGCACAGCATGGCACCCTGCAGGGATCACCCACTAGCATTGTGTTCGCCTCCGTCATAGCCCGGTGCTTGTCCTCTGGGATTTGCACCGCAGGAACTTGCTGCACATTCACCAGAAGACATGTGAGAGTTCCTCCGGGTGCACAAACCCAGAAGGAGAAGCATGTGAAGCACATTCTGGGAAGGCCAGCTTGTTTTGACAGAGAGAGAGAGAATTTTTTAATATTTATTTTTTAGTTTTCAGTGGACACAGTATCTTTATTTTTAATTTTTATGTGGTGCTGAGGATCGAACCCAGCACCCCGCACATGCCAGGCGAGCGCGCTACCGCTTGAGCCACATCCCCAGCCCAGACCACTCTTAAACTTGTTTTCCTGAGCTAGTGAGTTTTTATGTTTAGGAGAAGAAAAAAGACTAGCATTATTCATTATAGCCAAAAAGTTGGAGCAGGTCACGGGGCAACCAGCCCTGCTGAGGTGCTGATTTCATGGTCCTCAGTGCACTGTGCTTGCAGCCAGCTCAGATCATGGTGAGCCCACTGTGCAACAGACATCAGACTTACACAGAAAGCCTGTACCCCTGCGGTAGCTAGCTCTGAGTGGTGGGGTGAGGGCTGTGTTCCCTCTGGGACTTGGTGGCGATTTGGTGTGTTCTGTGTCCTTGCAGGACACTGAGCTGTAGCCCGTGCTGTGATTAGCAGATCTGTGACCAGGGCCCTCCCTGAGCCCTCCCTGCAGAACGAGATCCATGCTACCTGCCACAGGATCATTATTTTTGAAACGAGAGAAAATTATCTGCCATTTAGTTGCCCAGTGACCCCTTTATTTTTGCTAAAAATAAAGATTTCCATGTAAAGATTGATTATAGTTTATGTCTTTTTAAAATCATATTTCAAAGTAGTTTGCAATGCCATATGTACAGTAATTTTGGACTCGTAGAAATTAATTGAAAATTACTTATTTCTTATTATTTATTTCATGAATTTTTTTTTTTAGATATGAATTAAGGATTCGTTACTTGCCAAAAGGATTTCTGAACCAGTTTACTGAAGACAAGCCAACTCTGAATTTCTTCTACCAACAGGTATGAGACAGTGCTCTAATATGCTTTTTTGTTTCTTTGAATCATTTATTGCATATTTTTAGGGTTGGATGAAACCCAGCATTTCAGAGAATGTAAATTTATCACTGTATGGAAAATCTTTTAACCATAAGAAATTGAGATTTTAATTCTTTGTGAACAGCTGTGTTCTGGGACAAATCTTAAATGGTACTTGTTTTATTCAGAGACAGTAGTCTATAACCATGTTGCTCTCTTTCATTCAAGGAAAATTTTCTAGCTGGGGTATCAGTAAGTCTGTCTCATGTGAAAGTCCTTGTTAGAGTGAACTTTACCCATTTGGTCTTGATAGTAGTTCGAACAGTAAAGCAAAACCTCACTTTTCACGCTGAAGAGCTGCTGTTTACACCTGTGGCCCAACATGACACCATATAAGTGTTGCCTGTGAGTGTTGTGGAAGTGTACCCTGGAAGGTTGCTGGTGGGTACCAGCCACTTGCATGTACCATTTTGCCACTGAGAGCACTCGGTCGGTCAGGTTTTTGTCTTAAACATCTTCAATGACCATCCACCCCGAGCTAGTAAGGCAAGGGTGGTGATTTGCACCTGTGCTTCCTCTGTCTTGCAGATAGTTCTTGCAGACAGTTGCCTTGTGTTTGCTCCTGTTCTATGAGTAAGCACAAGCAGGCAACATGGACCTTCTAGAAGAGTCTGCTAGGTCAGCGAATGCATGGAGTCGGGCTCGAAGGAGTATCCACCTGCATCCAGGTGCTCTCTTGACAGGAATGAGGTGAAGAGAGAGAAAGAAGAGTTTGTGCATTTCAGTAGGGGCTAACGTGGCTTGACAAGAAACCAATGTGAGTGAAAAGGAGTTTATGTTTTCTATAGGTTATTGGGAGCCTTTAAAGAATTTAATTAGTGAATGCCTTGGTCAGAATTTTAAAATTTTAAAATGAGACCACCTTGATTGGATGGCAGCATCAGGGTTAGATTGAATTTATAAATGACTTTGGAGGCTGTTTAGCCATTCCACTAAGAAATTAGAAGAACATGGAGTCCATGCCCACTGTGTGGAGTCACAAGGGAAACAATGTGCCAGTGGATGTATTCATGTTGGAGGTTTCCGTTCTGGTCAGATGATGTTGTGTGCCCGTGGTTACAGTAAAAGTTGTCTTGAACATGACTGCCAGGTGAGAAATCCTCAAATGGGTCATTAAATGTTGTTGATTCATTTTTAATATCCTGAAAGGTGTTAGTCATCACATTCTAAAACTAGAATCTTGTAACACTATTTACTGTAAGGCAGGAGTCTGAAAAATATGTTTTGATGATAAAGCTTATGACTTTTAGAAACAAGAAAGTATATTTACCTTAAAAATTAGACTTCCTTCATCGTATAACATTTTTCTTCCTCTTGCTTAGCTCTCATTGGTTATAGCTGTTTTTGACTGCCACCCTTTTGCAAATGGCAGTGGCCATTAATTTCAAGATTGCCACATTCGTTAAATTTCCATTGATGATGTTGAAGTTGTGTAGAACTCACTTGATGCTCTTGACATATCAACCCGTAAGGTGCCTGGATCTAATACAAAGTCCTCATTTGTTCACTCCTGTAAACATTTTATATTTAGCATGAGTATATTCACCTGTTATTTGTAAGAAATACCAAACAAATCAATGGTTTATTTAACAATAAGAATTCCAAGACAACAACCAAGTCTAGAACCACAACTAGGCTGTGGTGTGGAAATGTGTGAGGTCCCAGCTGTTGATCAATCTTTTTGTTTTCTCCAATTTATTATTTTTATAATATTTCACTCAGATTATTTATTGTCAGAAATAAACTTCATCCTATACTGTTTTGGCCTTGAAGCTACAGTTAAAGCATTTTTTGAAAATTGCAACCAGGTATGGTGGCACAAGCCCGTATTCACAACTCAAGAGACTGAGACAGGAGGATCACAACTTAGCAAGACCTTGTCTCAAAATAAAAAGGACTAGGGATCTGGCTCAGTGGTAAAGCATCATTGGGTGTCCAACCCCTAGTAGAAAAAGAAACAGGGAATTGCAATTCTAAGTGTGAAATTTGAGTTTAAAATCTGACATTTTCAGCTGAAGTCGGGGTAGTCAGCTGCCCTTTTCCAGAGAGAAGATAAAGTTGTGTATAGGCCCAGGAGACCTGGGAGCAGGTGGGGAGGGAGAGAGAAGGTACTAGAAACAAGGTTGTTCAAACTTGTTTTGTACACGTCCAGGGTTGTTCAAGCTCTGTTGTTTACACAACCAGCGTTGTTCAGGTTCTGTTGTTTACACTCGCAGGGTTGTTCCAGCTCTGTTGTGTGCATGCACAGGGTTGTTCCGGCTCTGTTTTGTATACGTACCGTGTTTTTCAAGCTTTGTTGTGTACATTTACAAGGTTGGTATAACATTCCACTAGTATATGTAATTATGCAACAGTAAAAAATTAAGTACAGGTCTATCTTTCTATGAATTGAATTCTCAGTATTTCTTTGGTAGGATTTAATAGTGTACACTTCTCTTTCCATGCCTGTGTATTTCCATGATTCAGAGAAGCTCTTGTGGTTAATGAAGATTTAGGTGAACTTTTAAATTTATATTAATCAACTCTTATTTCTTCATCATCCTTGTACATAAAAGATTCAGAAATAGAAAGGCAACAGAGGTAATTTTCTGGTAATGTGCTGCTGCTCCCTGGTGGTGTTTTCGCCACCTGGAGCTTCTGGGCGCTGGCTTTAGTATGAGTGCTCTTCTCCTGGGCAGTCTTCTGAAAACATCTGTACAGTGCTGAACCTAGAATTAGTTCTCAGCAGAAATCCTGGCTGAAGAGAGAGCACAGAGCAATGAGCGGCCCAGTAGAGCTGGCAGGTGTCTCAGTGGGCTGTTGTGTTGATGTGGTGTGGCCACAGCTGCTCAGGTCACATGTGTCTGCTCTGTGACAGTCCAAAAAAGCAGGCACCGTGAAGCCTGCAATTTAGGGACCAGTCATCTTGGTGTTTGAATTTCATCTTTGAAGCTTGCTTATGTGACCCAGTGTAAATTAAGTTTTCTAGTTTTATATATATATAAATAAATAGTGCTAATGAAATTTACCCTGAAGAATTGTGAAGATCCGAAATGATGGATGTAAAATGCTGAGCACAGGACCTGGCCCCTGGTAGATCTCTTTAAGTAGTATATGTTTCTCTGCCATCATCTTGCTCCTTTCCCTCAGGGTTTTTCTGAGGCTATAAGAGCCCTGCATATAAGTTGGCTTAAGGCACCCATGTGCTTCTAAGCATGTCCTCATGTCCACATGCACATGCTTCACAGTGGGGTATAGTCTGCATCAAGGAACAGTAGGGGTCCATTCTGAGAAGTGTGTCATTAGGTAATCTTACTGTTGTGCAGACACCACAGAATGCACTGTAAGATCTAAGACAGCTCTAGCATTCCACCATCACATATGCAGTGAAGCTACTGACTGAGATGCCATCGTGTGGTACACAACTGCATGTGCACATGAGCTTAAATGACCTGGTATGTTTCATTTATCTTGCAAATGGAAACAACCAATTCTTCTGCAAAAGTAGAAGGCAAAGTCCAAACGTATTTCACAAGAGAAATGGACACCAAGGGTAAGGAACCCTGAATTTGAAAGCCCGTCTCATGATGTGACCCTCTCAGGACCTTCAGAACACACAGTCTAGAGGGTACAAGTTGGGCAGCCCTGGAACAAGCCAATGGGTGTGTTTTCTTTCCTCCCACTGAGAGGTACAAGGGCCATGAGGCCTGCTGTGCCCATCCGTGCTGTCACTGGTCAAAGCCCTTTGCAGAACATGTGAATCACTTCATACCATAGGGTGTTCCAGGCCATGGTCAGCAGCTTTGATGCTCAAGAGTAGTCAATTGGAGCCATAGAAAAAACAACCCTAGAGCATGAAGTCGTTTTTAGGGGATTTTCTAGAGCTTGGTAAATTATCATTAACCCTTTTTGCAACTCATATGAATTCAGTTTTGAAGAATGAAATACAGGTCTAGATCATATTTTCTTATCTGTGAAGAGTGTTTAGAAATTTCAGTGACTGATCTTCCAGCAGTTTTGTGTTTTCCTCAGCGTGTCATCAAGTATCTGTAGCTCTCCTGGAATATGCACCGGAAGACAGAACCACAGTTAGCTGTGGGGTTCCTCTACTGCAAACATCTGCCTCTGTGCCTCCCTTTTTTGTATTCAGTGACAAAGTGCTCTGGTGCAGACACTGAGATTTGACATTTGGATTGCTTTATTGTACAGAAGGGTGAGCCAATGGAAGTCTTAAGTGATTCGACTTAACCTACTGGGTTGAGTAATTTAATTCCAATTGTCAGTCTCGAGTGTCTGCTGTGCAAGGAATAGAAACTATTTTTGCTTATAAGTCTCATCTACAAAATATCCACACACAGAAATACTCCCCAGTGTGTTGGCTACTTATCTGTTCATTCATTTGCCCGCTTATTCATTTGATCAATATTTGTTGACCACCCAGGTCTAAGTGCCTGTGCAGGCTTTGAAATCATGTGTTGTCCCATGCTAGGGACCAGCCAGCTCTCCTGCCCTAAGAGAAAGGAATGTGTGGGTGGGTACCGGTGGCATTGGGTTTCTCATTCTCAGCAGGTCAAAGAAGAGTACTCCCACCTGATAGAGACTGGTAACTGGGAAAAGTGTGACACTGGTGTGTGGGGAACCCCATGGGGAGCACTGCTGAAGGAACGCCCAGCAGGCCTGCTGAGGTTAAGTTGAGGTTCATGAGCATTCTCCAGCTGTCCTGCTGGAAGCATAGAGAAATGGTTGGCTTCATTGTGGGACGGTTTTACGTAGCAATTAAAGGAGATAAAGGGGAAACAAAAATATCCAAAGAAGAAGGTCATAATGATGACCTCCCCACCATAAGACAGACTGAGATTGGTGTGAAGTGAGGGCCAATGAATGGGGTAGAAGTCGTAGAGCCAGTGCGCCAGCAGGCTCAGAGCTAGTAGTTGAAGAGCATGGTGTTTGAAATTTTTTCCAGGGCAATAATCAACATACTATTTCTGTGAAGGGCAGAGAGTAAATAGGTTAGGCTTCAAGGACCAAGAGACAAAATCAAAGGTCTTATGAAAGATTTTTGTATTGGTGCAGTTCATGGTGTAATGGAGTAAATAAATGTTTGATGGTCCAGATACCCTTCGAGGGAGGTTCAGGACGCGTGCACCTATCTTCAGGATTTTTGCCGGAAGTTGCTCTCAGCACTCATCTGTCAGAAGCGTGATTGTGTCTCAGCTCTAAAGACGCCTTTGTGCTTACAGCTAGCTGCTCGCTAGCTCATCAGCACTTCTCATGGAGCATATTCATTGCTGGGAGGCATTTCTGGTGTTCTTGTAGACTCTTTGCTTTCTGTTAGACTTGAAGCATTTCCTTGCTTTGCAGATTGGTCACATACAATCAGTGGTTAAGTAGAAACACCTCAGTTCCCTAGGTAAGTATGTAAATTTCCATGAATTTGCACTGGATCCCCAAAATGCTGCAGAACTGTACTCATAGCTTAGAAAATGCATCTGCTGCAAGTTTTCATGGAAAAAGATCTTGTCCTGCTTGTTTTTGCTTCTGACCCTGTGGGTAGGGTGCAAGGGAGCTTAGCATTCCTATGGTTCAGGTGTGTGAGTTGTTTCTAAATCCCATGTAAGCCAGCATCAATGACGTGAGCTTCTTTTAGCAGGAGACTATTGTTTCTTCAATTGTATTTGGTGTCCCTCATTTTATATCCAGAATCTGGAGTGGTAGTTGACAGTGTGAGTGGTCTGTACAGGCACTCGGCAGATGCTGTGGAATGACTGGGTGGAGTCGACCTTCCTCTGAACAGCCCCGCTTCCTCTCCTTGCAGGTAAAGAGCGACTACATGCTAGAGATAGCAGACCAAGTGGACCAGGAAATTGCTTTGAAGTTGGGTTGTCTAGAAATACGGTAGGTGGTGACCATACGTTGAGTGTTTATTTGTCAATGCTTTTCATTATTTTTGAAAAAAATTTCCAAGTACTTTCTTCTAAATGAAGTGCAAGAAGGTTCCAAATTACTTGCTTGTTACTTAGCTGCCCCCTATTGTTACCCTTTAACAACATATTTATTCTGTGAATACATATTTTAATTTGTCTTCCCTGGTTTTAGGCGATCATACTGGGAGATGCGCGGCAATGCACTGGAAAAGAAGTCTAACTATGAAGTGTTAGAGTAAGTACTGCACACCTGTCTAGACCCATAAGCATTCAGAACTGAATCATTTCTTAACGTAAAATTATTGACTCGGACACCATGTTTCTAAAATGTATCTAGAAAAGAAAACGTTTTTAAAAAATTCTTAATGTCATTAATTTTGTTAGGAAGCATTTGAATTTGTTGGTAGATGTTATGCTAATAATGTGTATGGCCTATCAACACGTTAATGCACTTTTCATCTACATTTAATCATGATGAGGGTACATCGCTTCTGATTTACATGGAGTTCTAGTATTGCCTGTGCACTATTGCTCATGTTCTCTGTATATTAAGGAATTTTTTCAAAAATGGAGGAATAGGGATTACTTGTTGCCCATGCATCAGAAAATTTAAAATATCTAAAAGTTTCTCTGATAATGAAATTGATTCCTACATTAGACTCAGATGATTTCACGTGTATGTAAGCTGAGCTGAGCTTAGGCCTTGGCAGTCTTGGGAGTTCTGAAGTTCATCTTTTGATAATTCACCAAAAGATAATTGATATTTGTTTTATTCTTGTAAGGGCCAATTTTATTTTCATTTACAGTAGTGCAATGTTTTGCCAACACACTTTCTTCTCTGTCATTACTGAAATTCTTCTGGCATTTGAGAGGTGCTGGTAAAATATAGTGAAAATTCTCCATGTAATAAAGACTTAATGGTATTAGATTTCATCTGGACTTTCTAGGTGTATCCACCTGTTCTCATGCTGTGAGCTTACCATCCCTGTTTTGAGAATAGGATTTTTCAAGGGAGATAATCATTTAAAAATAAAAGTAGAAATAAATAGTTTTAGAAGTCGCTACAAAGCATGTGAAATCATTTGAAATGATGATGGGTAATAGTAGATATAGCCGTTATTTTGGTACTTACATACGTGTCCTTTGGGCCTGTTGTGTCACGCATGTGCACGTGGCCCAGCAGTCCGTCTTGTTGCAGAGCTGTGACCTAATGCACCACTGGGCCTTGGAGCTCAGCGTCTCACTTTCACAGTGCTTTGGCACACATAGTAGATACTCACCAAATATTTGTAATTGTATGTGTTTATAAAGATATCTCACCTGGGGCTGGGGATGTGGCTCAAGCATTAGCATGCTCGCCTGGCATGCGTGCGGCCCCGGTTCGATCCTCAGCACCACATACAAACAAAGATGTTGTGTCTGCTGAAAACTAAAAATTAATATTAAAAAAATTCTCTCTCTTGCTCTCTCTCTTAAAAAAAAAAGATATCTCACCTGTGTTGTGTCTCTTAACAGATTAGATAAATGCAAATTAATTGTTTGACTTAAATTAAAAACTGTAGAGATCAATTGGGTATCTTACTAGTCACAGTTATTTTTAAATGGAATTTTTTCAGTTCTTCAGTAGCTGGTGTGGTAATAATGATACCATTAATGTCATTAAAATATTAAAACTATCATTCACTGTAGTTTGGATCTTTTATTTAAAAGTTGCCACATTCTTCAGCTTGAAAGACTTTCCTTAATGCTGAAAATATAAATTGCCAGAATCAGAGAAATCATTGAATGTCTTAATGAAAACAATTTTTTGTCTTCATTTCAAAAAAAAATTCAGGAAAAATAGGAGTGATTTTTATCATCTTAGTGGTTTGCTTAGTTATCTGCTTCATTGTCCATTTCTTTGCTTATTAATTCACTTGACAGCCATCATTGAGTGCCTTTTGAGTCCTTGGTAGTGAAATGCTTGAGACTGAAAACTCAGCAATACAAAATTATCATCCTGGGTAAGCTCATTGCTAGGTGGGAGGGTCTCAGACATGTCAGCAAGATCACAGAACAGCATGCTAGAAGCTGTGTGTCCACTGAGGTATGCAGGATGGACCTTGAGTGGTCCCACAGCAGAGTGCCATGGGCTGGCCTCACAAACAAAGGAGCAGCTCAGGCAGCGTTTGCACCGGGCAGAAGTGGTGCCTATGGGCTCTAGTTCCAGGAGGGAGCCCAGCATGCCCCGAGGGTGGAGGATCCCTGGGCATCTGAGGGATAGAGGAGTGTGTCTGTCAGGTCATTAACACTCCTCAGCAAGCGCGGGCATTTTGCCCTGGAGCCTTGCTGAATCCTTGAGCCACACAAAGCAGGGCAGTCTCTGAAGAGGTTTGTGGTTTAGAACTCTATACTTACAGAAGGTTGGAAAGGGGAACAGGAATTCAAGAGACTCTTGAATCTTTCCATGGGAGGAATAAGCAGTCTCTGAGTAGTGATGGAGCTAGTGTCTGTGTGGAGTCCACAACAAAGGGTGGGGCTCTTGTCTCTGGTTTTGCCCTGAGCACCAGGGCTGTAGTCAAAGAGAAACTACTGGGCACGTTCACTTAGTTCTGTGGGAGTGCTTGTCTATTTTTAAAGGGAAGAGGAAAGGGAAACATTGGCTCATAGCATTTGCTGTTAAATCACTAATCAAAGCAGTGCTTAGAGCCCATGATGTGTCCAGCACCAGAGGTGGTTTCTCACACAGTTCTCCATGTGCCTCGCTCTAGGGAGGGGAAGAACCAGCATGAGCCTAGAGGTTCTCATAGCACTGGAAAGAAAGAATCAGCAGTGTCTCAGGGACACAGGAGCCAACTGAGGTGCTCAGTGACAAAAGTGGGAACAGTTCAAGGAAGAAATTAAATATGTAGCTTAGATAATGAGCCAGAGTATACAGTGAATACCCAGAATTCATACTAAGATGATAATTTGAACATACAATGTGCAGTCTGTTCTGCAGAATTCCCAATACTTTCTGTAGACATCTCCTCCCAAAGGTGGTGGAGTGTAAGACCACCCCAAGACTTAGGCTTGCTTCAGAGAGTACCAGGTGAGAGGGAGCATGGGGAACAACAAACGCTGCATGGAGGAACCCAGCAGGCAGCCTCTGCCAGGGCGTCCAGGTCAGTGCCAGTAGGGACAAGTCTTGTTGACAGGGTGCCACCGTAATGCGATGTGTTGAGAGTGGTATTTCACCACTGTGGTCCTTCTCTCCAAGCCCTTACGCCAGTCTATCATGAGAATAACTCCCTACAAAGCCCAGTTGAGGATCATTTTATAAAATATCTAACTCTCACTCCTCAAACTGGCAGTGCAGGTCATCAAGGAAAAAGGCAAGCCCAAGAGACCGGCAGTGCCAGGTGGCACCTACAACAGAGAACATGATTTTAAATATGCTGTTCCACATAGGAGCCTGGCCCAGAGAAGGGACATCCGGTCAGGTGTGACCAATGTACGAAGTGATGCAAGATGTTAATAGCAAGGCACCCAGATATTGGTAGATGAGGTATCATCTCTGCAACCTGGGAAATCTAAAACTACTCTAAAGTGAAATGTTTATCTCAAGTTTTAAAAATGTGGTGCAAGAAGTAAAATCAAGAATCAATAAACGGGATGGATTAAAACTAAAAAGCTTCTTCCTTCAAAGGAAACAATCAAGAACATGAAAAGAGCTGGGTGCGGTGGTTTACTCCTGTAATCCCATTGGCTCAGGAGGCTAATGTAGGAGAATTGAAAGTTCAAAGCCAGCCTCAGCAATTTAGCAAGACCCTAAGCAGCTCAGACCCTGCCTCTAAATAAAATATTTTTTCAAAGAATGTGAGAGAGACTTAGAGGATGGGAGACAAATGTTTGCATTAATCACCTGCATTAATCTCCAGGTTATATGAAGAACTCAAAAAACTTAACACCAGAAGAACAAATAACCCAATCAATAAATGGGCAAAGGAACTGAACAGATGCTTCACAGGAGAATACGATCAGTTAACAAATAAATGAAAAAATGTTCAATATCTCTAGCAATTAGAGAGATACAAATTAAAGGTACACTGAGATTCCATCTCACTCCAGTCAGGATGGCAATTATCAAGAATACAAGTAACAAGGAAAAACCAAGAAAGCAGATAGGCAGCTTATCAGCAAGGAGGTGGACCAAAAAAAGTAGAGGTACTTTTCTGGAATTTAAAGCTGGACATTCAAAGCAGATCAGGAACTCAGGAGGTTGGATATAATAAAATAAGGAAAAATATCCCCAGTGGCACAGCCACTGCCATGGCTGGGCTAGAAGCACCGGCCAGAGCGGTCCCTCCATAAGCATATTAGAGGGATAAAGGAATTAACAAAACCCTCATTTTTGGGAGGCCCACGACGTGTCTGGGTATGGAGCATATAGAGATTAAGGACATTGCCGACAAACCAAAAAGATTCGCTGCACAGTAGTGATGAAATGGGAAAAGAAGCTGATGGCCTGATGAAGACTAAAGAAGGAACCATTTTGCAGCTGCTGTGCGGTGCGTGGGCCAGCAGCTATGAAGGCCAATTCCTGGCAAACCCAAGTTTGGCCCAAATTATAGGCCCAGTAAACAAACATGGAAAGAGGTTTACACAGGGGACAACTGGTCTTGGAAACCCACCTGGCTCTACCCCTCTCCCTCCAAACCAGTTGTTTGGAGGACCTGCTGGGAGAGACACACATCTGACTGGGAACTCGTAAGGGCAGGGTTAGGAGAGATTTTTGGATACTGAATCCGAGGTCAGGAAACATGGGATCCGAAGGTGGCTTAGGGGACTAAGAATCGGGTTCCCAACCATATGAGCAGGATCCAGAGGAGAGCCCTGGGGTACAGTCTTTCAGTTTGGAGTAGGAAGTGCTGGACACTGAAGGTGTGCCGATTTAAAATCTCCAGGCCAGTTGGCATTCAGTGAAGAGCTTGGAGCCCATGCAATCCTAAACCCTGTCTCCAGATCTCTGCCTGTGGGATGACCTCTCTCATTTCAGCAATCTAGGGGGTGGAACATCACACTCCAGAAAACCCTGAGAGGAAAAACTGAGAATCTCTTGAACTCCAACAGAAAGAAATCTTTACCTTTTCTTTAAGATCTTTATTTAAAATTCTTTTTCTATGTTTAATTGTGATCTCAAGGTTTCGTGGCTATTTATACATATTCATATGTGGGTTTCCCCCCTCATTTCTAGCATTTTTGAAACCAGTTATT